AACTGTGTTCGGACACGGAATTATTTAAATTAAAATATCATTTACGTACTTTGTTAATCTTCACTGTACACCTTGCTTAAAAATTTCATATGTTACACAAGGTGTCATGCACACTAGAAAGTTAAAACGGCCGTCACGGTTAAATTACTTACTATTTCTGGTCCGAAAAATTAGTAAATATTCTTCAGACGTTCTAAGGTAAAGGTGAACAGCGTTTTTCTTAAAAATATCACTGTTACGTAGTAAAAAAATATTCGGAAGTTCTCGCTTCGTGATTTGTTCAATACTTCGAACGCGGCTCGAGTCCGTCCCGACCAGCTGTCAAAGCCTCGTGCTGCGGGCTCTCGAACTTCGCGCCGTCACCTCTCATTGGTCAGTGTTTTCCGTTAATAACAAGTAGTAATAGCTATCACAAGAGCAGATATAACTGCTATTATATATTTCTATGTACTATGAATTAGAAATTAATTCAGTTAGTTATCACTAATCTCAATGATGCATTTATTTCATACAATGTTAATTAATACGCAAAGGTCGTGTAGCACTGTGTCAGACGATTTCAGGAAATTGGTACGTACTTCTTAGAGTATGATTGTTGAGTTCAACGTTAGGGTGTCGGGGGCATCCTGGGATGTCCTCTCTAGGTGTTAGGCTTTTTTGCACCCTGATGTATGAGTGAGAACCGTGGAGTGATGTGTGTTGGTGTGTATGCGTTTGCCTTTTTTTTTAAATATAGGGATAAGGAGGATAGGTAACTTAATTTCTGGTATGTGTGATTTAAATATAAGTAGGCAGGGGCCGGGGTTGACTGTCGCTTTTCTCTTGGTCGGGTAGGCTCCTTTTCGTGGCGATGGTCAACTACCGGAGCAATTCGAAGATTCGAGGCGAAAGATAGGTCAATCGGAGAATGGCGATTGCTTCTAGCTTCGACTTCGAGATTTCGAATTTGGCGAACTTTGGTTCGTCATTAGCATTTCGCGTTCGCGGTCGGAAATCGGATAGAGTACGAAACGATCGACCCTGCTCAATTACATTTAGCGAATCAATTAACGATTTGCTAACGAGCAGGTTTAGGATTACAGTATTGGCGGACCGCCGAAGAAAAAAAAGTGGCTTTCGAGCCGAAGAGGCCCCGACAAACTGTCGTTCAAGAGGGCAACTACCAATGGCATTACATCCAAGGATGTGGTGTCATTATCTTACTACTGTGTCATTATCTTACTATTTTGTCATTGTGATCCCAATAAGTTGTTAGGCGTTGGCACTTACCAACCAAAGAAATAATTCTATTCCTTTTTTCTTCTTAGACCTTTCTTTTGACACTAGAAATACATACCACGAAACTTATTGTTGCTGATATATTAAATACTTAAATATTGTAAAAGTTCAGTTGTTCAGTTTTTCAATAATAGTTGCAAAATATAAGAACTGTAATAAGTTCATCTTATTTATTCTGGTACTTTTAGCGTTAAAAGATATATTATGTGCAATTGCATGCTGCACATTTATGTTACATTTTCACGTCATTTTATTACTTTCTTATTATATAATGACGTTTTTTTTATCCTATGTATTGTATCAAGTGTTTTCATTTTGTGGATCTTAACCAAATGCTTAAACTATTATTAATCTAAAAAATATAAGTAAATTTTCGAGTAAATGATTGCAGAAAGGATAATTAGATTAAAATCTGTTGGTGACAAAATAAATTTTTTGCTTTTTGCACTGGCATCGTGTGTATGTATTCTGACAAATATTAATCCAGGTCAAATGTTTCTGTTTCAGGATTCCAAGGAAATCGGACAGAAAAATAACTGAAGAGGCTCGTCTTATGTAAAGTATTTTATGTATTTTAACTGCTATGCTCCTGTTTCAGAATCCAAGGGATGTGTATCACTGGAAGGATTGAAGAGAACCCATTTCTCAAATTGGCATCTTACTCAGATTTAATTATAGTCATATACAATTTTTTGTTTTCTTTTACTGATATCTGTTTTGTATTTCAGACGTTTCTGTGGAACCCAACACACTGGACCTCAAATAAGACTTCAAATTGGATATTTAGGTAAGAAATCATTATGCGAATTATATGATATATAAGCGAGAGCTCTCGAATCCGAAAATTTTCTTACTTTGTATTGTATTTTTTCTATTTGAAAAATGTCTGTCTTAATATAAGCCTCAAGAAAGAAGATCAAGAGGAATCTAGGGCCCTAGGGTATTACTTTAAGTGTAGTTGTTAAGATTTTTGTAGATCGATGTAAAAAGGAACTCCAATGAAACTTCTATTATGGTAATAGGATATTGACTTCATTTGGTTTCCTTTGGGTCTCCAGCAGCCATCCTGCTGGTTGACACGTGGTGAGATCCGGGCAATCGGTATTATCCTCGATCATTGATACATTGTTAATCGAAGATCGTACCGAGCTAATGGCTGTGAACTTAGAATGTGTTCTCGAAGCGTTTCGACGAATTACTACAAATTAGGCTTCTAGATTGATTCACTCGGTTCAGTGTGAGTACATTTGCAATCGGTGAAGTATGTACCGTAGGTAGATAACATAGGATACTACATGTATATATCCTGCATAGATAAATTCGCAGTAATGAATGCATATATTTCTCCAAATTAATCAATCGAACCAAATTCCTGCTTGGAGTTTCACATTTTCTGCTATAATTACTCTTATTTCGATTGAATCAACTGAATTTTCGCCTTCTAATTAAAACGACGCCGGGGCTAGAGTGTTTCCATTGACACCAGGTCGGCTATAATTTAACCGTAATTTATTTAAATAATAATAAGAAAATACACAATTGTGATTTTATTGAAACGATAATCATGAATTTCTTTATACAACTTTACTGCATGGTTTGCTGGCTACGTCTATATGTATATTGTCTACTGTCGGTATTGAGTACAACAGCAAGCTGAAATATCGAGCAGAGTTCGACTTAATTAACACGCCCTCGATTGATATGGTTAGAAAACTCGTGCGCGTTCTTTCGCGGATCGAGTCTTCAGAATCGAAAGCTTCATTTCTCACGCCGGATTTCGCGATCGTTAATCCAAATATCGGTGGAATCTCGATTTTCGGACGAAGCGTACACACGACGTTCTCCATCGGCTTATAAATGCTGGATCGGTTACCGGTTCGCGATCGAGTAATACATACGTATATATTATAGTAATGCATATAAAAGCGTACAAAACACGTTTTTAGTTGGGTCGGAGAAGGATCGGAGATAGTCGCAACACGAAATACTCGAGACTCCGACGAGTCACACACAGGCTTATTTTCGTTTTTCTTCTTCTTCTTCTTCCTCTTCTTCTTCTTCTTCTTCTCCTGCCTCTCTTCCCTCGTTCACACTTTTCGTATACTTAAATAGCTTCTTCGAATGTCCGTCGTTTCGTGGTCTGTACAGGGGCGACGATCCTTTTGCGCTAGGCTTATCGATAAGTTCAGCGCGAGAGGGACTCACGAAGCCGCGATCTCGAGATTCATTCTTCGATTCTTAACACGTTCCACCCGCCATTCTAATTACCTTTCGAATGTTAACAAAACCAGCTAGCGTTATAATCAATTTCTGTGAAACCATTCGTTTCCTCAGAACAAATTCCATCGATATCGAGTTCTGCGGATTATGCGGAAATTTGATCTCATCGAAAATGCGACCTCTGCGACTTTTAACGATGATTTTACTCTTTACGAGATGAAGTGCAGTTTTACCCATGACAAAAGTCGGGTTCTATAAGGTGAAAAAGATCTTCAGAGACTACCAAATTTTTTATCAGACAATCAGTAATTTTGTTCGCATTAGACGAACGATTATGTAGACCTCTTTGAAACTTAATTTTCTTGTATATTCTTTTTTTAGAGAATATTAGGAGATTAATTAATTTAGTAGATGGCTCGAGACACTGATCGATCAGCGGCGAGTTGAACGTGCTAATGAAGGGCCACTTTCGTTCGCCAATCCATCGAGACGGTTCGGTCTCCCCGAAACGCGGCGAGTATCTCGTCTACAATTAACTAGTTTTCCGCGGATACAACGTAAACGTGTTACAATATCCTTCTTCTTATATATCAGGGGTTCTGGGGCTTACACCTACATGGCAATCGGTTTCTCTTCTCGCTGTAATCAACGCGCGCGATCCTGTCGATCGCTCGACACCGTACACAGAGAACATCCTCCCTAAGAATCGCAATATGTAAAGTACACAGACAAAATTAGAGGATAATTAGAATGATGAACCGACACGTCGAGGGACCCGTTTAATAAAGGACGCTTCCCGTCGCGGTTCTCTCACTTTGGTATACGACCCTCGACGTCCCTTCGTGAAATCCAAAGGGCGGCTGCAGCAATGCTCGCTTTGTCCTTCGTACTCTCTTCACGATTCTTCTTAAATTTTCCAAATCCTCCGAGACGAAGGATCGAAGTTCCAACGACAGTTGGAAAATTTCATTGTTGGAATAGAAACGGAAATATTCTCAATATTTTATCGTGAATAATTAGAACATTTTCATTGTGTTCCATAGAATTCTAAAAAACTCCCTATTTCTCTGTCTTCATGTTTGTAAATTTGACGAATTATTGAAGCTACAAGCGTCTGAATGAAACAATGTGAGAAATAGAGAATCGTTAGAAAAATGAATTGCGCCATGAACAAATGAAAGTATTAGTTTTATTAGTGCCTAGAACTGTGAACAATCGAGCGAGCATTACTGCAGTCTGAACTAAACAGGGACACGTGTGCGTCGGTTGCAATGCACCATGCTCTGGAAAGCAGCCTAAATCAATACGACTAATAAACCGAACGAATAGCAATGCAATTTCTCTATTCTTTTAATCATAATATCCTTGCCGGTGACGAAAAAATCGGTAAGTGGTTAATTATCAGCAGAAATTGCAGCTTTCCAGACTGCATAGTGCATCGTTATTTCGCGTGTCTCTCAGATCTACGAAGCCTCGGCGACACGCCGTGGGAGTTAAATATTTGCGATTCGCAGTCTGTCGCCGGTCTCTTATCGTACGATCGACGTCGACAACAATAGTATATATATATATAAAAAAAGAAGAAAACAAAGAAAGGACAACGGAGTACAGTAGGCGATGGCCGTCGACGCTCAAAGCAGCAGGATTATTTTTCCTATACGTAACTGCCCCGAGGGGTACACATACACATACATATAACGAGTCTCTCTGGTAAAAAAGAAAAGAAAAAAGTAGAAGGCACTCGGAAAGAAAATGGCACCGTCAATTAATCGTCGCGCGCTCTGCGCTCGTCCTCTCGCTTCTCTCTCTCTTTCTCGCTTTCTTTCTTTCTTTCTCTCTTTCTTTCTCTTTTCTCACTGGCACACTGCCTTAATTATTCTCCCCCGCACTGTCCTCTGTTTAACTTCTGTACCGGTGGCTCAGGTTGGTCCGGAAATTCACGATCGCGTCGAATTTGTCCTTCTTCCTCGGACACTTGCCCTGGCGTCTCATGTAGTCGCCGAACTCGCAGCTCGGCATCGCGCAGTCCTCGTTCTGGATGCACCTGTAATTCATAAATGTCAGATTGCCGTTGACGCTTGTCGAGACTGGTGCGTTGGAAATGTCACTTTCCGCGAAGCTCCGAGCTCTTTCGCCAAATAAGAGCAGAACGGAACTCGTTGCTTTTGAATACCGAGCTCGAAGGCAGTTCGAATGGATGAGAGATTGATAAGTTCATCTAGAATGCGAAGAAGCAATTGATAAATTGCTTTTGGAGAAAATATCGCTGAACGAACAATTCGATGTTGGTTCAACAAACTACGAACTGGACAATTCAAAGAATTGTTTTACGTAAGATCCTGTTCGAGAAATTTAAACTGGGATTTTATGCGTTTATAACAAAGATAAGTAGATCGAATACAAGGTGCCAAAAACATTCAAGGAATCTAAGAATATCGTTGCACCATCTTGTATTCATTAAAATCGTTCAGAAACGAATTCAATTTCCATGTGGCTCGGAATGGCTTGCAATTGATGCGGACAATTTTTATCTTACATCATTAAAAGTTCAACGATGCAATGAAATTTTTATCGAAAGGATGAACTTCGTTAAAATTGAATAAAACCGTAGGCTCTTGAAAGGTTATATTCTTCTAAATTCTCAACTTACAATCGATCAGCTATAGAGAAGTAGCCCTTCCCTCGCCTGATCTTGTCGCAGTTCTGGTGACTCTCGTAGCAGTTGCAATGGCACTCGCCCTGCGACGTGATCCTGGGCGTGAATTCCGAGGGACAACGGCATCTAGACAATTTCGAATTACAAATTACTTAAGATAGCGGCAAGAACATCGTCACGAGCCGAATGAACTTTCGACCTGAACCGCGATCGACACGGTTCGCGCGGTTCGATTTTAGTAGAATTTACAGGTTTCTCGCGAAGAGAATTATTCTCTTAGAACAATTTCTCTTCGTGAAAATATTGCTCGCAAGAAAGATGAAGAAAATTGCGACGAATTGAACGTATTTAATGCTCTTCGTGACAAATGACGATGAATATTGAACAAACAAACTGATTTTCTAACAATTAGGTCGCGAGGTTTTAATTGTGACCAGAGTTTGCAAAAAGTAATCTGATTAATGACTAACGATTGTAGCTCGTCGGTTATTGCATTTAATTTATAATAATCAGGCAAAAATTAATCTGATTAATGATTAACGATTATACTCGTTAGTTATTATATTAGTTATTATTATTATGTATACTACTATTACTATTACTAGTTGTTATTATTATTATTGATATATTATTATATTATTATTTGATTAATGATTAACTTGTAACTCGTTAGTTATTATACTAGTTGTTATTATTATTTATGCTACGTTTACTATTATTAGTTATTATTATTATTACAATTATTCATAATAACTAACGAGTTACAATAGTTAATCATTAATCAGATTACTTTTCAAGATTAGATTATTTTTATCAATGTTAACATTTATATAATTTACTTGTCCGTTGATTGACATAAACAAACGATTAGTTCAAAGTCGAACAACAATTTCTCGATCTACGTTCGCAGCGAACCGCGCTGTGCGGCGTGGCAAAACAAAAGGGTGAATATGGACGAAAGCCGCCGAATTCATTTACAAAGCTAATGCAGCGACAAAGAGGGATATGGAGGGGCTCACGGCTTTCTGGGTTCTGCTCTTCTCATGTTCTGAGGTTGCGGGGATGGCTGATAGTGCCTGTAGACTCTCTGCTCGGGGGGTTTCTCGTTGGTCGTGTCGTATTCGGTCCTCTCTCTGCACTCGCATTCCGTGTGGTTGTAGAAGGACAGCTTTTCCACCACGCTGCCGCCGCCCACGCTTGTCGTCTGCAACAGAAACACCGCGGATATCGTTATTTACTCCGCCTTGGTCCCGACCGGGGCGCATCTTGCCCAGATAATCACGTAAACCTCCGTCGCGACAGAAACGGAATCGGCGCGATCGGCCGCGCATCGCTTCGCTTTTAATTGAGTTCAATTAACCTTAGCCTGCTCTCCGCAGCTTGCATGCTCGTAAGAGGGTTATCCGTATCGTCGGGCCACACGTACCAGCTCCACCAATCGACACTAATTACCCTCGCCGGCTATTTTTACCGATTCCTAGACTCCCGGTTGCCCCCCGTGAATTTCATCGCGGTGTTCCAACCCGAGTACAGCGACGCACGAGCCCAGATTAAACTGTGGATTTCTTAAAGGGTTCAGAATATTTTTCAGCCCAGAACTGGATCTTTTATCAAAAACACTATCGAACAGTGAACGCGGCTGGTATACATACATTGATTTATAATGTAACGGCTTGCGATAAGATTCGTCGAGTACGGTTTTTATTATGTCCTGCAATCAACGCTTTCAGTGTTGACTAAAACTCATTTTTATGTTTTTTTATTTCTATATCATAATCAAGACATGTAGATTGTCAATCAGATTATATGACCTGTGCTTGCATTACATAAAATATATAAAGCATATACATAAATTCTCTAAAAATCGTGGTATATTTCGTATAAATATGGCAATTTATTCAATGCGCTTAAACGTTTGAAGGACCAAGAAGTGCGTTCGAAAATGTCTCGCGAAACTACGTCCATAATTCCAATAACTCGGTGACAAGTTACTTTTACCCGTCCGGCAGTTCGAATGTTAAGTAACAGATCTATTGTTATGCATACGGCTGACTTGCTCGGAACTTCTGGAACAGGACGTGCAGTCCTTGTCGTCGACGTGTCCAAAATGGATGTTACAGTGGGAAATCCGCAATGATTTTTGCACGCGTTGCTAACGAGTTTGCCGCGCGGACAGGACACATAACGCATGTGCAAACGATTTGAAAGCGGCTACGTGGGTAACACGGCATTTAGTTAGCACTAATTGCTGGAAGCCAGATAGGGACGCGCTCGGAATCCGCTAATCCGTTGATAAACGGTGCATTTCAATTCGCGGTTGATCCGGGGATCGAGGGTAGCCGATACGGAGATAGAAAGCTCGTTAATCACGGAAGAAACGTTTGAGCCCGCGTGGCATACTGATTCAGGTTGAGTTTCGAAGCGCGCACCTGGACGCGTATCGCGGCGATTGCACCATCGAGCGCGCTGCAGCTGTAGATCGCTCTCGTTTTAATTGCTCGGCAGGATCGCGGATCGATAAAAGCGACCGTAATTGATCGCGTTAAGTAGGCCGTGGCCTAGGATCTAGAGATCGTCGACAATGGGCCTGGCGGAACGAAATGCCGTGATCCTGGGTCCAAGGGCGTCGATCGGTCTCCCTCGACGGCATGGGATTCCGCGGGTAGGCGCGGTGATCGAGACGCTCCTTCGTCGATCGCGATCAAAGGTCGCCATCCATCTACACCGAGTCCCCGCTTAAAGTGCAAATCGATCGCTATCGCTAGGGCATTGTTCCGGCGACACGTCTTTGCAGAAAAGCGGCCAGAAGCTTTGCTCCTGGCGAATTTCTATTCATCATACTACAGTTGAAGAGTTGTTCGTAGCTTTTTAACATTATTCATTCAAGTTTATTAATACTGCTATTTATTATACGCTGCTAAAAAAATTATAGCATAGACAAATTGTGGGTAAAAGTTGGTCAACTTTAACCGATAGTAACTCCGCGAAAAATCGTTGTAGGATAATGACTCTTATTTGAAATTAAAGCTTGAAACTTCTATTTTAAGGTAGTCTTTCTGTATTCTAAGTTCGATGCACCATCGCTACCTGTAACCCTTTAAATGCGAGACTATGTTTGTCATATTAGAAATTGCTAAGTTCGACAAATGCACAGACTTTGCAAAATTTTTCTCGGAGATGTCGTTCGCAGTCGAATAAAGTTTGATCCCACCCCTTTAATTTAGAAACAAACAAAAAATTGGCTGCCATTTTTTGGCAGCTACTACTACTGTGAAGTAACCCTCGCATTAAAATCGAGAAGCGCAGTGCGCGTCGAGATAAAAGTTCCGAAGTGCAGTCTGTTTCCACGAAAGTATGCGAACACTGGAAAATGCCAAGATTTGACCTAATCAACAGAGTCATAAAGAAACGTGATCATTATTGTTTACCAACGATGACTTGAACTCTGCCTAATTTCGCGTACGTTGCACGAAAAAAGCGATCGATTTCGCACGAAACAAGATGGTCGCTGGTTCTTTGCCGCGTTTTGCATGATTGGGTGTACACACTCGGTATTAATCGTTCAGGAAAGGGTCGCTCGGATCCGAGTACAATGTTCTCGGAACGCGTGATTCACTATGCGAACGATTAAGTCGTGGTGAATAAAAGCCGAACAAAGGGGAGCGAGCGTCTTATCGGAGGACGACCGCCGCGTTCGTGTCTTATGAAACTCTAATGGGATCGTAGCCGTGCAGCGGGGCTCGAATCGATGGATCCTACGGGAACGAATCGATTATCTCCCGAAGGATACGACCGCCTCTAACCGCGATGGAACAATAAAGAACCGGCCAGGACAAATTGCCGCGAAGAGTAGCTCTGGTCTCCGCGGGTTTTTGCCCGCTGACAAAGCGCGCAAAGATCTCGCCGGATCTTTGTAATACGAACTGCCCTCGCGGGCTGTCTCCTTCTTGCCGCGGCGTACTCTGTCAAGTCGGTGCACGCCAGGATTGAGATTCGCGATCGTCCCTGACGAATAGCCTGGTCGAGAGATCGTGGTCATAAATTTGCTGGCACAGTGGCGTACCATGCCCTAGCCCTCGAGAAATCCTCGGACCCTGACCGTGTCGGACCTCTTCTTCAACATCTTACCCATATGATCGCGAGTATCTGGGTCAAGTACGCTTTCCGTCAAGACCCATCAATTAGAGTTAGCCACTGCTCGAGACTACTGGAAGCGAAACTTTTATTTTCTCGAATCGTCTCTCCTATTAATCAGGTTGTAACGTTGCATTCGATACAGTAAGTGCACGCATGTGTCTCTGTCTACTTCCAACAAAGAAGCTTCGGTGCCCGGTGAATGTGTTCACTGTANCGGCATGGGATTCCGCGGGTAGGCGCGGTGATCGAGACGCTCCTTCGTCGATCGCGATCAAAGGTCGCCATCCATCTACACCGAGTCCCCGCTTAAAGTGCAAATCGATCGCTATCGCTAGGGCATTGTTCCGGCGACACGTCTTTGCAGAAAAGCGGCCAGAAGCTTTGCTCCTGGCGAATTTCTATTCATCATACTACAGTTGAAGAGTTGTTCGTAGCTTTTTAACATTATTCATTCAAGTTTATTAATACTGCTATTTATTATACGCTGCTAAAAAAATTATAGCATAGACAAATTGTGGGTAAAAGTTGGTCAACTTTAACCGATAGTAACTCCGCGAAAAATCGTTGTAGGATAATGACTCTTATTTGAAATTAAAGCTTGAAACTTCTATTTTAAGGTAGTCTTTCTGTATTCTAAGTTCGATGCACCATCGCTACCTGTAACCCTTTAAATGCGAGACTATGTTTGTCATATTAGAAATTGCTAAGTTCGACAAATGCACAGACTTTGCAAAATTTTTCTCGGAGATGTCGTTCGCAGTCGAATAAAGTTTGATCCCACCCCTTTAATTTAGAAACAAACAAAAAATTGGCTGCCATTTTTTGGCAGCTACTACTACTGTGAAGTAACCCTCGCATTAAAATCGAGAAGCGCAGTGCGCGTCGAGATAAAAGTTCCGAAGTGCAGTCTGTTTCCACGAAAGTATGCGAACACTGGAAAATGCCAAGATTTGACCTAATCAACAGAGTCATAAAGAAACGTGATCATTATTGTTTACCAACGATGACTTGAACTCTGCCTAATTTCGCGTACGTTGCACGAAAAAAGCGATCGATTTCGCACGAAACAAGATGGTCGCTGGTTCTTTGCCGCGTTTTGCATGATTGGGTGTACACACTCGGTATTAATCGTTCAGGAAAGGGTCGCTCGGATCCGAGTACAATGTTCTCGGAACGCGTGATTCACTATGCGAACGATTAAGTCGTGGTGAATAAAAGCCGAACAAAGGGGAGCGAGCGTCTTATCGGAGGACGACCGCCGCGTTCGTGTCTTATGAAACTCTAATGGGATCGTAGCCGTGCAGCGGGGCTCGAATCGATGGATCCTACGGGAACGAATCGATTATCTCCCGAAGGATACGACCGCCTCTAACCGCGATGGAACAATAAAGAACCGGCCAGGACAAATTGCCGCGAAGAGTAGCTCTGGTCTCCGCGGGTTTTTGCCCGCTGACAAAGCGCGCAAAGATCTCGCCGGATCTTTGTAATACGAACTGCCCTCGCGGGCTGTCTCCTTCTTGCCGCGGCGTACTCTGTCAAGTCGGTGCACGCCAGGATTGAGATTCGCGATCGTCCCTGACGAATAGCCTGGTCGAGAGATCGTGGTCATAAATTTGCTGGCACAGTGGCGTACCATGCCCTAGCCCTCGAGAAATCCTCGGACCCTGACCGTGTCGGACCTCTTCTTCAACATCTTACCCATATGATCGCGAGTATCTGGGTCAAGTACGCTTTCCGTCAAGACCCATCAATTAGAGTTAGCCACTGCTCGAGACTACTGGAAGCGAAACTTTTATTTTCTCGAATCGTCTCTCCTATTAATCAGGTTGTAACGTTGCATTCGATACAGTAAGTGCACGCATGTGTCTCTGTCTACTTCCAACAAAGAAGCTTCGGTGCCCGGTGAATGTGTTCACTGTAGGCATTTTGTGAGATGATCATTTTAGAAGGCTTGTATTTAACCCGTTGCACTCGGAGAATTGTCTCAGATTGCCTATGAGCAACTCGCGAGATAGTAAGCATCGAATCGAATCAAATATAAAATGATCTATAACGTTGCAAGTGATT